CGCTGACTGCATTGTGAATCCCGCATTCAACGAAATGTAGGAGTTTGGTTAGAAAGACAGTATAGTGATTCCGTGTCGACACTGTCGACGGAATCCCGTTCGTTGCCCCCGTTTTTATCAAAATCCAAATTGAGTTTCACGACAAGTGACTCAGTTCTTTTTTGTTTTTTTTTTTACGCGAGCATTTGAAAACTCCGTGGCATTGTTACGTAGATTTAATCTGGTCGCGCGCGATAAAAGCAGATATCGCGTTACCCCTCGATCTACGTATTACAAACGCTGTGTTGTCTTGGAGGTTTACATAAGGATTTTTCAATTGCTCGTCACGGATTAATCATTGCATCGAGCCGTAGGATAGTCGGAATCAATTCGTGCGCGTCTCTCCGCGGAGCGATTCGATCATCATTGAATGGGAATAACAACAGGCTAGGAAGCAAACTGATAGTTCTCTCGTGGAGAATAGATCCGAATAGATCCGAGCGCGTTGTGTTACAGGCCGCACTAACATAAACAGATATTTTGCCTCGCGGTGTAAAATCAATATGGCAATGAGAATGCGCGAGCGAGCTGCACACTACCCTGCCGCTCGTGCACTTGATCAATAAAGATGCCGTGCAAGTTTAATGCCGCGTTATTGATATAACCTCGAAAATACACACCGAATAAATAGACTTGAATTATTTGTCGTCAAATACCGGCTGTTCTTATTCGATTGGCGACCGCGTCTTCATCCTCCTCGTAGATACTAATTCGTTAATATATCGCGCGCGCATACGCACACACCTTCGTGCACCAATTAATAATTGACGCATCAAAGAGCCAAAATAAATCCGGCGCCGAGTGACGTTCCGATAAAGTGCGCGAGCGCGTGTTTTCGAAAAACAAACCGCTGAAATAGTTAGCGGTTTTGAATAGCTCGTGCTATTTCTGAGGCACATAATTATTCGAGGAAGCCAACAGATCATCGCGAGCAACTTTATTTCCAGACAGACGAGCAGAGGCTGTCACTTCCGCTTAACAATAAACGCGCGCGGAAGAGACGCGAAAAGCCAACCGATTGTGTCTAATTCGAGCTGACTCGAAACTTGGCGGGAATCTTATCGATTATTATTCCGATCGCGAGGCGGGAATGTTTATAGCTGCGAGCCAATCCTGTCCAACGATGAATTAACGAGGTACACGGACGACCACCGGCGACTCGTAGCTAAAGATGAGCGTCTTCGCCTCGCGCGCCGTGCGATTCTGATAAGATTATGCTCTTGCTGGCCAGAGCGCATTGCGGAGTGTATTATACGAAAAAAAATCATCTCGGTGTTGCGATTGCGCTTTATGCATTTCGTCAAATGTATCATTGGAAAATTGCGTATTATATTTTATTCCTTATTTACGAGCATGCCGCGTATTTGGTTGGCGGTGCAAGCGTTAAATTTAACGTGAATGACAAATTACCAAGGCAAATCTAGTCGAAAATCCCTCCAACTCGAAGATCTGTAGCTGCGTAAAACCGATTAGTCTGGTCGAGATAAAGGTATCACGAGCGTTCTCGAGAGAAAGTCCTATTTCAGCCAAGTCGAATATAAGTCAACGCATCTCAAATTTCCGCAGGCGCGAGCATGAGAGATGTCACCATGAAAATCTTATCTCGCGACCCTGCGGTACATTTCCAGTTTTTCGCGAGCAGCGACGCGAGACGAGTACTTTGACCGAGCGCGTGATTTTGTAGTCGAAATTGCGAATATTGATAATGCACTCGTTTCGCAAACGTCGGCAAAATAACGTCGGAGTGACTTTTTTTTATCAACATTTCGGGAATGTGCACCACGCCGGGACTTCATAAAGAAGATTTTGTACGTAACAGGAGCTGGCAACTTGTTTTTTTTTGTGTCCACACGTTACGAAAACAAAAATAACTGACTTCCGAATCGTCGAATTCGATCTTCGTCGAACTCTGACTTGAAAGCTCGTACGTCGCGGTGTGTCTGATTAAATTAACTTGGCGTCAAAAAACTCACGCGCGCTGAATAATTTTATAACTCGTCGGGCGAGAGATAAAGTTGTCTTGCTTGCCGACAAATTTATTGAAATATCTCGCTAAATTTATGCGTGCGATACTTTTGGAATCTAGTGTAAAAATCTATCATAAAATCACATCGAAAAATTTTATGATGAAATACCTCGGAGGAACCGAGAAGGAGGAAATTTCATGTTTTTCGTGTACACGAGTGTGGGCATTCCACATTTGACCAGGGAGCCTCCGCAACAATGCTCAAAGTGTAAGCCACAAGCTGAAATTTACGAGGACATGCGCGCACAAATCCACCCCCTGCCCCCCAGAAGCCAATTAATCAAGCGATCTCCTCGGATAGGCTAATAAACGCGGTAAGAGAAACAGGGAAAACTCCTAGTGAGTAGACGCTAATTTCTTTTTTTTTTTCGAGACTTTATTTAGCTTTGGAGTTATTTATTGCTCGATGGATGGCGAATTTATTCGTTTTGAGGTGAAACTAGTAATTGGGAGTTATGGAAAGTTTGGCACGTTTATTTGACAAGCGAGAATGCAAATTGGTTTGCGCAATAAACTAGTTGATATTGAAAGTAGTGACGAAGTTGATGAATAGTTTTAATTAATTTAAAAAATTGATTTCTATCTGGAAGCACCGATTTAAAAAGAAAAAAAAGAACAAATAACTATTGGACTGGCAGCACACGTTACGTTTAACCAACGAACAATCTCCGAAATTAATTCATTCACGACGCGCACTCACGTCGTAAGCGAGAGGGGGGAGGGCATACGAAGCGCGTCGCGCACGCGATAACGAACAAGCGAGAGAAAGGCTGGGAAAAATCGCAATTTATAATTAACGAAAAGCAAGGAAGGAAGAACAAGAACAAAATGAGAATGGACTCTGTGCTTGGGTTTTTTTAATTACGCCGCCTTATTTTTGCGCGCGCGTCCGCAAGCTCGCGGCGAATTATTATGCATATTCATGCAAATGGCGCGACGTCGCGTAATGAACGCAAAATAATATTTCGCCGGACGCAAATTTTATCTTCGCAATAGGCGTAATAAAATTCATCATTGGGAACAAAACGGTCGCTCGTGCGCAGAATACCACAAAGAAAGAAAAAAAAATATCATAATTCGGTGCCGTTTTTGCGAACGCTCAAATAGCGCGCGCGCGCTCCCTCTCTCAATTTGGCGAGTTCACGGTTCTGCGGAGTGTCAAAAAGATTCGCAACACTCTGGTGCATGCCGTGCTTTCATGCGACCCGTATTTTTTGTTCGGGGAAGTGCTAAAATCGTTTGGAAACGCCGTGGTTGAAAGCTCAATGAAAAGAAAAAACGTGATTTTCATGGTCTCTCGAAGTTTAATTGAAAAACGATGAGCAGGTCTGAGCTGAAATTTTTTTTCTGTTCGGAACGTTAAGCCTGGTAAGCTTTGAAATCACGCAAGTGCAGCTAATTAAAAGTATCAGCCTCGCATTCTTTGAGAGATTTATATGCCTCGTTGTATTACTCAAAGCTCTGTACGGATCAACATTTAAAGTAGAAGATAATAAAATATTTAAATAATGATTTAACTCGGATTAACGTTATCGGCGCTCTTCGTTTTTTAATAAACTCCCGAAAGATAAATTATATTATAAAGATAAATCCCGCGAACAACTAATTACGTTCTTTGTTTCAATTTTCTTAAAACTTCTGTAGGTTAATCTATCTTCTATCGCTTGTATATGCAGTAATTTTAAGCCCCGTTTGTTTCGTATAACTGAGAGCATGCAACCAATTTGTGAACGTTGTCAACCGGTATCGAGTTATACTACTTTTTTATGGGATTCCTCATATATAGTTTTTACCCTGGATGCTCGTTTGCGGAGCTTTAATAAGCATCAGCCGCAGGACTGATATTGATTATTGATTTTGGCTTGTTCCTCGACTATCTCTCTTCTCTTTTCGTTTCATTCATTTCTCACTGCCTCTGCTAAGCCGCCGGGGCTATTGAATGACTCTCCTTTCATTATACCGCTTCTTTATGCCTCCTCTTTTCTCCCTCCTACTCTTTTTACGGAGTTATACGAGAGATACACTCGAGCTTGACAGAGCATTCGTTACCGGAACGTCTTTGACAATACCGACTGTTTATCCGATGGGCGGAAAATCGATAACAAAAATAAAAGTTGAAGCGACATCTCGACCAGGTGGAAATGTCTAGTCGCAGGTGCAAACGGGCTCGCTCGTGGCTCAATTCAAAGTGAAGTTCAGAAATGGACGGGCGGCGCTCGGCCGTCGTCGACGATCGATCGCTCGGGCGAAAATCGCGCGACACGCGTACTGCCGACCGGTAGCGCGGGAAGTTTGTGCGTTCGGCGACATTTAAATTTAAAATTTGGCTTCGGTCGCGCTCGCCGCGTATCGATTCACCTGGCCGAACGTACACACGCCTCGGCGCTGGTGTTTTTGTTTACCTCGCGACCGCGCGCGCGAAAACTTGCCGCTCGAGTTGCATCGCGCTGCCGACAGCGGGCAGCGTTCTAATGAATAAGCGCGCTGCTCGGCGCACCGAGCTCGCTGGGGAACTTGCGTCACCTCGGCGCGTTCGTCACGCGCCGATAGCGCTTCCCGAAAAATCCTGAATTCCGCACGTCCTTATGGACGTCAGCCGGTTTCGTCGCAAACAGACCAAGACGAGCCTGCGGCTTTTATCGCGGACGGCCTTTTTTGTTCGTGTCAATCTCGTCCGTGGACGTTTACAAGCGGCGAAAAGTGAATATTCATCGCCTCGCTTTTAACAATCGCGGAAAGTATAAACTATGCAGCGTCGCGACAGCTGTAATCATCCTAATCACAGGCTCTCTCGCGCTCGACACAAAAAGCACAGCACATCTTCGCGAGCAGAGGACTCCGCATTGTTTATCGCGAAAAAAAAGTACACACGCGCGCGATGTTTGTGCAAACAGGAAGCCGAGCACTCCCGCACGCGAATCGGTCTGCTACTCACTTTGCTCTCTCAGCTTCCTCCGGCTGCCTCCTCGTGACTAAAACAACCAGTGTCACTGGAGCGTCTGGCACATAATAATAAATATCACCGCACCGAGAGACTGCCGCGGAGAACCGAACCAAGAGAAAGGTCGGGTGGGAAGAACCGGTGCAGCAACAAGGTAGAATCGCCGGAGGGGGGTGGGGAGGAGGAGGAGGAGGACAAAGGGGAGCAAGTATCCGTCGCACTCGGATACGCGAGTACGTATATTACAGGTGCGCGCACTGTTTCTTCTTGAATATCATGAGGGTTGCGGGTAGGCCGGCGGCGCTTAGGCGAGCGCTCGCCACGGTCAGCCGCGAGTGACTGACTTGACTGAACTGAGCGCGTCTGTGTGCGTGCGGGAGAGCTCTGGGCTCGCTCGCGACGACGACGACTATTGGGAGAGAGCCGTGGTGGGGGCAGGAGGCGGCGCGCGCAAGCATTTTATTGCTGCCCAGGGTTGACTCTCGCGCTCTCTCTCTCTCTCTCTCTCTCTCTCTCTCTCTCTCTCTGTATACCTACCTGCGCGACAAACGTACGGACTGCCAGCCAGCACATACTTTTGCGTGATGCTAATAACCCCGATGGGGACAATATACATATATACGCATGTATAAAACACTCGCTACACAGCCTGTGTCATTCGACTCATTCTTCTTCTTCTTTTTTTCTCTCGGCGACGCTCTGATTCGCATAATGAGCGAGCAGTTTGCTCGCGAAGCTTTGCTTTTGCTCCCTCCCTCGCTCTCGAGGGGATGACTCTTTTTCTTTTACGAGGGCTTTCATGTTCCAGCCATAATTTCGTATTTCAAATTTACCTAAGTGGCCGATAAAGCACACAAGTATTGCTCTTTTGATTCGTACTTAGTTTATATAAACAGTCGCTATTTCATTAAAAGTTTTCAGTTCAGCTTTAACTTGCTTTTCTTTTATGAAAGTTGAAAATAACGTTTGTGAATCCACGGAATTTCGAAATTTAAAGCGGATTTCGCGCAAAATCGTTTCCTTCTTCGAGATAAACAATGCTAACTTTATTAAACAATTCCGCATCGAATACATATGTTTTCGAAAGAAAGTTATTCCATGGGATTCCTCGCGTGGATTTCGATTGAAGTATTGTTAAATTAGATAAAGACCTAACGGTAATATTCCGGACATTTCGGTACTATACGATTTGTGCCTGTGTATGCGTCTCATATAAATAGAAAGCTTTATTACGCGAGGACTTATTTAGAATTTCATCGAGTTATTCTTAGCAGCGGAACGAAGAAGAAGTGTGCGAGCAAACTTGCGAGGATACTTACTTGCTCGAACGGGCTAATAAAAAAAAAAGTTGGACGTTTGCTGACAATAAAAGATCGCGTATCTCGCGAGGAGATAGCAAAGCCGCGGTTCGTGTGTGCGTTATAACAGTCACTGATTTTCTTCCGATAAAGTATTATCGACAAGTGGGTAGTTTCAGCTTTAGCGGAGGTATAACGCTTTCTGAATTGCATCGGGGGCGGCCGACGCCACCTACGAACTATCTGCAATAAAAATGATAACTAGACGCTCGAAGCTCGATAGCCGAAAGTGCATTAACCTCGTATCGTCCAAAACCTACCATGAAGGAAACAATAACCAGAGAGCGCGACTTCCAGCAGAGCATAAGTTTTCCGACTGCTCGATCGGATCGATCGTCCATTCACTAGATGACGAATACACGTGTACACACGCGTACGACTCACTGACTGACTGACCAAGTGAACTGTCTAGCCACTCCCCCTCTACTACTTGTCAGCTGATTGCTAGAGCGTTGCTTACTTGCCTACCTATCTGTCCGGTCGTTTTCAGATTAATCTTCGAGGCGAACGATTGGACACAAATCACAAATGGAAACAGAACAATTCTTCTTTTTTCAATTTTAAACGAGATGAGAGAGAGAGAGAAAGAAAGAGCAAAAAATGATATCAGCGCGAGGTACGCAAATAAGGATTGTTGATAGAAAGCCTACACGCCTAAGTTGATAACGATAAGATTGTGGTTGTTACGCTTCATGGAAGAAGTGTGCAAACATCAATCGGTGGTAGAATAATAGTAGGTTCATTCAAATATTTGCCTCAGAAGTGAAACTAGCTAGTTTTGCACTTGAAAATCCACTTGCGAATTATTCACAGATTTTGTTTAGTATTTCAAAGATAATAATAGAACGTGATTTAAAAGACTGATAATAACAAAGCATCGATCGTAGCGGATTCGCTCGCCTGCAGGCCAAGCAATTGCTCATTAAAAAAGCGCAAAGAGAAAAAAAGTCAGCAAATAGCCTTAAAGTGAAATCGCGTCTTGCTCGCGACGTTGATTGACGTGGAATGCCTCATCGCTTGCTATATTACCTACGATGCGAGGGAAATTACAGTATTTAACGGAAAAAATTTCGTACAGCGGGATTCTATTTTTTTTTTTTTTTTTTTTTTTTCCGATTGACGCCGCACAGAAAATACAGAGAATTTGTCAAAGCTTGGGTTTTCGTTTGATTCTGTGATGCCGCAAGTCTGATTTTCGATGATAAGTGGTACCCACTCGATCAAAATGTCAACGTAAGTTTTATAAATGAATATCATAAAATTCTTGTGTCACGAATCTCATACTCCTAATAACAACAAAATATTTAATAAGAACCACCGTTAAAATTAGCTACGTAAACATAAAGAATGACGACCAGCACTACCTCGTATATCACGATAAGATGTGATCAAAAGGACGCCTTTAACGAGACGCGTACGTCAAGGTCTTCGCCACGCGTACAGCACGTTTTTTTTGTCGTCGTCGTCGTCGTCGTCGTGTCAACTTTTTGTTTTCGTTAAAATGAAAATCCAATGTGTTACGGCGCCTTATTGTTTTATTGTTTTCAAAGTCTCGTAAATTCTAATTCACTGCGTCGCGTGCGCAACGGGGATTTGAGTTGTAATGAAAACACGACGCAGGTTAACCATCAGCCGCGTGGTGTCAGCCTTTTATCTCTGAGACACGCGTTGCTAGATTTAGAATTAAAAACAAAGAAGAAGGAGTTATTTTTAATTATGTGATAACGCGACACACGTACGCGCGTCCAAGAAGAACAGTTTAATTGAATTTCACGGAAGCGAAATGAAAATGCTAGCCTGGAGTTTCGTCTTCAATTGCAATACCGAAATGCAATTTCGAGAGGGAGGATTTATTTTGCAATTGCCGTTGAAATTTTGATCGTGCCAATAGTTAGCATATACGCGCAGCGCAAGAACAACACGGCCGGGGAAACAAAAGGCGCGCGCACGTATGTACGTACGTCAGCTGCGCAAATTGCGGCTACGCTTTGCTGAAATAGTTGCGCGTTACATTTGCTGCAAGGCATTCGGTTTACCTAGGCCATTCATTCCAAAAATTCAAATTCAATAGCCTACATCCGGTTGTAAAACCAAGACGTCGCTCGAGAGAGAAAGTTCCGTTGTCGTGGAAAAATCAGTTCGTCTCGGTGCATTTTTCGAAGCAATTAAATATCGCAAGGCGTGGTTCGTTGCACGATTTTCACGACCGCCGGCAATAAAGGAGCAAGTGCCACGTAGTCCTGACAGTTGCAAGGGCTAATTCGAGTATTTTGTCGTCGTCGTCGTCGTCGTGCGCGACAATCTTCCTCTCGGGCTTGCTGTCGTTCTACCTAATCCGTCGTAATTTTTCGTTAAACACTGTCGCCACTGGATACACACACTATACATGTAGCCGCGGACTTTTTTTATGGCTCTTTTCATTAGGAAGATAATGTATTGAAGATGCGAGGAAAAAATAATAATTAACGTTTTACGGCGTGCTGTAGTTCTCATTTCTTTTAACATAGCGTGCACATATATGAACCTTTTTTTATTACCGGAGAGAGAGAGAGAGAGAGAGAATAGCGATAAATAATAAATGCTGAGTGCACGATATGCACTTTTTCCAGATATTTAACTTGTAAATGAGTCGTTGATATACCCTATGGTTCGCATATCAAAGCTGTTGTTCAATTATATAGTAATACGCGATCAATTATCCACATTAAAGATTTCACCGATACTTATAGCATTTGACGAATTTATTCGACAATAGCCATGAAATGATGCGCAGTCAAAAGAAAGCTAGCGTCATTGAATGCAGTCGAAGATTAATGTAATGATTGTAGAAATTATCCGCGAGTACTCTTATAGGCAGCAAAGCTTCAACCGAAAATCCTCGTCTCGCTTAATAAGGCGCGCACAGCTCTTTAAATTCGGGCCGTGCGCTCTCTTTCTCTCGCAGAAGGCCTTTGATCGAGTAGTCCTAGAGAGGAGGATTAGTGCGCGGCGAACTCGCTTTTCTTCTCGAAAGGCCAATCCAATATTAGGACAAGTGGTGGCAGCCGCTGCATCTCTCTCCCTCTCTCTCTCTCTCTCTCTCTCTCTCTCTCTCTCTCTCTCTCTCTCTCTCTCTCTCTCTCTCTATTTGATTCTTTCTACTGCGGAGGCAATTCAAGTGGGCACTCGCCGATATATTATACGGTACGCGCGCTAGTTTTAGGATTATTTCGAGAACTTCAGCCTGAATAACTGCTATTTTTACTAGCTGCAATAATTTTTTTATACGTCGAAAGCTGGGATTCGCTCAAGAACGTTTCTTTAAGGTGTACTTTTTTTGCAGAGAAAGTTAATTAATTTTGGGTGCTTTTGAGATCAATGAGAATTGAAAGGATATTTGATAATATAAACAGGCAGCTATTTCGAGGTAATAAGCGAGCTTCCAATCAGTTTTTACAGGTAATACACGAGTTTGCAATTACTTTTTTTCAGCTAATAAGGAAAAATATCGAAAAAGCTCGATGGTTACGTAAAAGAAGGGAAATATCGCATGCATTCGGTAAGCATATCCATACTCAGATGGAAGTAGACAAGCAAAATCTCTCTTTTCCTCTCTCATGCTTTGTGCATGCGGAGAGTATAAAAAAAAACTCGAGTCTATAAAATTCAGCGTATGAATACAAAAGCGATGCACATACATGAGACAAAAGCCCAAGAAGTGAGTATAAAATGTATCGGATAAGTCAGCAGGAAAAATCAGTTTTACGAAAAAACAGAGAAGATGAAGTATGCGGTGCACCTGCGAGACACCCATATGCCGAGCTTATCGAGCATATATAGCGAGCGCGCTTGCAACCGCCATGATTTACGAGAAATGCGCGATTTATCGGCCCGCAATTTCTTTTTTTTTTCTTCGCGCGCGCGAGGGAGAATACTTTCCCACGAATGATTTTTATTTTTCTCAATGAAAGTTGCGCACTGCAGTTATATGCGCTTACGCGCGATCGATTTCGAGAGGAAGATGGCGCG